GATTTTTATTCCAGCTCTGCTACTATCCAGCCATGAGGTTTTGGTCAAGTTGCTTTGCCTGGGCTGCAGGTTCCTCATTTACGTATTGCAAAGGGGCGCCCTGGGGACTTCTAGGTTTCTCTGACTCTGCTATTGCATGGGATGTGGTTCTCCATGAGGGTCTACATGAAATGACTTCATCGTGACATGCAAACTTGGGGTGCTTCTTCATGTCACCCACAAGAGACTGGAGAGTGTTCTGATTTCATGGACAAACGGAGTCCGTCTGTAAGAGACTGGGGAGGGGTGGAGGTAGATGAAGGTGTCATAAACTCAGGGGGCAGAGGAAAAAGGCAGATGACCTTGGTACAAGTAGAGGAACATGTCTCTGGAAGCAAGAGGGGCCCGCTGAGACTGAACAGGCAGATCTAGGCAGAAAGGGGCTGGGCCCTGACACAGGGGCTCAGGCCTAGAAACACTGGAGGGAAGAAAGAAATCAATGACTCAAAGGCAGGCCCAGCTTTGCCCTGTCCCAGTGCTGGCTTGGTTGTTAGGTTTATTTGTGCCAAGTTTGTGAGAGGCAGAGAAGGGTGGGGGAGGGAAGGAAGGAGGGAGAGAGCAGGGTGGAATATTAACAGAGCTCAAGTAAGTGCAACTCTGTTTCTGCCTCATTGTTTCTGGGCTCATTTTATCCTCCTGTGTTCTTTGGAGAGCCAGTTTGCCTTGTTGGAGGAGTCCCGAAACCACAGTGAAATTCGCTTTGGCCTCCTCCCACTGACAGTCATCTCTGGGAGCTGTCTGGTGGGTCTGCCTTGCCCAGCCAGAACCCCGCTGGTCCCTCTGGTAACTCAGGTGTTTGGTAAATACACATTCTCCTGCTTTCCCTCTCGCTGAATCAGAACTGTTCTGGAGGCTGGGCCAGAGCAGCACAGTCACACTTGATCCTGAGCTTAGCGTAGTCCCTGGCATAGAAGGAGATCCTAACTAGGGATTATTGTTGCTGAATTAATCCTGTTTGCTGAATGCAAAAGGGAGAGCGCTCTGATGCGACAGGAGTGGTAGTGACCGGCCCCCTGTGTGCTCCAGCTCAGAGGCTTGCTCTGCCTGCCCAGAGAGGCCTCTTTTTCACAGCCATGGTGACTATCCCCTTGACTTGGTGGTCAAGTAGTTCTTACCATGAAGGGGAGTGGAACCTGGTAAAAGTTTGGTGACTGCGACGTTTTGGTCCCCTTGCTTTTTTACTTCCTCAGCAGGCTGCTCATAGCCAGGGTAAGGCTTTACTTGGTTATAAGGTTTAACTGCTGCCCTGGCTGGCGTAGCTCAGTGGATTGAGCGCGGGCTACGAACCAAAGCATTGCAGGTTCGATTCCCAGTCAGGGCACATGCCTGGGTTGCAGGCTACGGCCCCCAGCAACTGCACATTGCTGTTTCTCTCTCTCTCTCTCTTTCTCCCTCCCTTCCCTCTCTAAAAATATATAAATAAATAAAATTTTTTTAAAAAAAAGGTTTAACTGTTGCTGTATCCCAAAACCCTCCTGGGACAGCAGCTCAATGAACACTGTTGAAGGAATGAGTCAAGTCCTTTGTTTGTCCGGGTGACATATGATAAATCATTTCCCCATTCTGGGGTTCCCTTTTATCAAATCCTGAATGGTGTGTGTGTGTGTGTGTGTGTGTGTGTGTGTGTGTGTGTGTGTGTGTGTGTGTGTGTGTGTGTGTGTGTGTGTGTCTGTCTGTGTCTGTCTGTGTTGGGTGGGAGACAGGAGAGAGTGAAGTGAAACAAAGTGGGAGTTGCTGGTTGAGCTCAGGAAAGCTCCCTGACTTCCTGCTACCCAATTCGGCTGGCTGGGTGGACTTACTTACTGGACTCTTCTGAGTCCCACCCTGGACAGCCTTGACTACTGTTTCCCTCGGGGACAGGAGAAGCACTAGCTGATCCTGGGACACGTTTTCTTCCATCATATGTGTTCAGCAGCGGGAGGCTTGGGCTGGGGAGGAAGGAGGTAGACAGGCCAGCCTCCATCTCTATTTCAGTCCTTCTCTCTATGCACCCGATACACAGCAAAAGGATGTATCTACTGCAGTGATTTTCAACCACTTTCATCTCATGGCACACATAAACTAATTACTAAAATTCTGTGGCACACCCAAAAATATAAAATATATATTTTTTGCCGATCTGACAATAACAATAGGTATCATTTTGATTTGTTCACTCCAGAGGGCTACTCTTATTTTGGATGTTATCACTTTTTAATCTTATAATCTAATGGAAAAGAGGTCAGTGTCCCTGACTAGATAGTTAGGTATTGCATGTTTTAAAAATTTAAAAATTCTTGCAGCACACTGGTTGAAAGTCGCCGATTTATTGTAAAGACTCTCAGTAGAGACTCTTGCCTGGTCTCTCTGTAGCAGCTTAGATTTGTTGTTGTTGTTGTTGTTGTTGTTGTTATTGTTGCAAGTAATAAAATACCCAATAAAATGGTTTGTACAACTTCCGGTCAAGATGGCAGCACAGACAGACATGGCTTACCTCTTCACACAACCAAATCAAAATTACATCTAAAATATAGAAAAACCATCACTTAGAACCATCAGAAATCGAGTGGAATAGAGGTCTGACAACTGCAGAATTAAAGAAATCACATCTTTCCAGACTGGTAGGAGGCGTGCAGATGCGGAATGGGCTGGTTTCTCACCCACCTGTGGTGGATAAAAATTCAGGAGGAATATCTTCTCGGAGTGAGCAGGCCCAGCCCAACACCAGTGCCCTCCCCCCGCCCCCACCCCCCGGTTCCGAGCCCAGGGTTCTAGTGCCAGGAAGATAAGTCCCCATAATTTCTGCCTGCAGAAGCCAGTGGGGAGTGAGTTGGTGGAAGAAACTGCTAGAGTTCCCAAGCAGTTCCTCTTAAAGCACCCCCACACACATTGGCTCACCTACTGAGACTTATTCCCTCTGAGCACCGATATGGGGGCAGCAGCTTGAAAGGCACCAGCGGTGTACAGGGAGAAACTGAAATGGCTGCTGTCAAGGTGAGCAGAGGCCATTGTTCCTTTTCTAAGCCTTCCCCCCACAGAGCCAGCAAGCTGGTGCCGTATCTGAGCCTCCGTCAAACACTGTTTGACATGCCTGGGAGATTCCCACAGATTTTGCCCCACCCAAATTACTGGCCGGTCCAAGCTGCTTTTCCATGTGAATGGCTGGTCTTGGCTCATGCTTCACAACTTCCTAAATCTTATCAAGCAAGCAACATTTGGCTTCAGTGAGTCCCAGGCCAGCACTAGCAGCAACCGGCTTAGATTCACAGTTTGGCTATGCCTGGGAATCTTCCAGCCCAGCACAAGTAGCAGCCTTCTCAGATTGCTTTATAGCTCAGGTAGGGTGCCCCTGGTAAAACACAGGTGGGGCTGACCTTGGCGGGCACCACCTGGGGAAATCCCAGGGTCAGCACACCCACTGGACAGGTATAGACCATGTCAGAGCACCACCATGCTGCCTCTGCGTGGCTGATCCTCCACAGAGGGCAGAGGTTGGTGGCCAGTGGTTGCAGCCGGTCCATGCAGCTGACTGGCCTGGGTAGATCCCTCCCATTGATCTGCTAACAGCAACCAAGTTCAACTACAGGAGGAGGGTATACTCAGCCCACACAAAGGGTGCACCTCAATTATCCAACACGGGTGATAGGGGAGACTGTGCCACTGGACCCTATAGGATACCTACTACAGTAGGGCACACTACCAAGACAGAGAGTCAAAGCAGCTCTACCTAATATATAGAAACAAACACAGGGAGGTGGCCAAAATGAGGAGACAAAAAGAAATATGGCCCAAATGAGAGAACAGATAAAAGCTTTAGAAAAAACAAAATGGAGATAAGCAATCTATCAGATGCAGAGTTTGAAACACTCATTATAAGGATTCTCAAGGAACTTAATGAGGACCTCAACAGCATCAAAATATCCAGTCAGAAATGAAGGATTCACTAATTAAAATAAAGAACAATTTATAGGGAAACAACAGTACAGTGGATGAAGCCAGGAATCAAATAAATGATTTGGAACATAAGGAACCAAAAAAACAAGCAATCAGAACAAGAAGAAGAAAAAAGAATACAAAAAAAATGAGGATAGTATAAGTAGTTTCTGGGATAGCATGAAGAGGTTCAACATTCTCATCATAGGGTGCCAGAAGGAGAAAAGAAATAGCAAGAAATTGCAAATCTATTTGAAAAAATAGTGAAAGAAAACTTCCCTACTTTGGTGAAGGAAATAGACATGCAAGTCCAGGAAGCACAGAGAGTCCCAAACCAGATGGGTACAAAGAGGCCCACTCTAAGACACATTATAATTAAAATGCCAAATGTTTAAGATAAAGAGGGAATCTTAAATCAGCAAGGAAAAAGAAGTTAGTTACCTACAGGGGAGTTCCCATAAGACTGTGAGCTAATTTCTCAAAAGAAAGTTTGCAGGCTATAAAGGATTGGCAAGAAATATTCAAAGTCATGAAAAGCAGGGACCTACAGCCAAGATTGCTCTATTCATCAAAGCAATCATTTAGAATTGAAGGGCAGATAAAGAGCTTCCCAGACAAGAGAAAAACTAAAGGAGTTCATCATCACCGAACCATTATTATATGAAACGTTGAAGGGACTTATTTAAGAAAAAGAAGATCAAAACTATGAACAATAAAATGGCAAAAATATGTATCTCTCAACAGTTGAATCCATAAATCAAACTAAGCAAACAAGAAGAACAGAGACAGAATCATGGATACAGAGAATGTTTTAATTGTTGCCAGATGGGAGGGGGGTGAGGGAGAATGGGTGAGGAGGTGAGGGGATTAAGAAGTGCATGTAGGTAGCTACCGAATAGCCAGGGGGATGTAAAGTACAGCATAGGAAATGGAGCAGCCAAAGAACCTATGCATGACCCGTGGACGTGGACAATGGTGGGGGATTTCCTGAGGGAGTGGGGGGTGCTGCGTGGAGGAGGGCGAAGAGAGAAAAATCAGGACAACCGTAATAGCATAATCAATAAAATATAATTAAAAATAAAAATGGTTTGTACAAAAAAAGGTATGTATTTAATTATCTCACTTAACAGGAGGTTATAAGTAAGTGGTTCCAGGGTTTGCTTTTTTGCAATGAGGTTTCTTAAAAAAAATTGTGGTGAAATATATACAACAGGATTTACCATTTTAACATTTAAGGTGCAGTTTAATGGGATTAAGCACATTCATACTGGTGTACAACTATCACCACTATCCATATCCGGAATCTTTTCAACATCCCTAGCTGAATTCTGTATCCTCTAATCAATAACTCCCCACTGCCTCCCCGCCTCAACCCCCTAGTGACCTCTACTTTACTTTCTGTCTCTACCAATTTAACTATGCTAGGCACTTCATATAAGTTTCATCATGCAATATTTTTGTGTCTGGTTTATTTCTCCTAGCATAATATTTTCTAGGTGTGTTCATATTATAGGATATATTAGAAATTTGCTCCTTTTTAACAGTGAATAATATTCCATTGTATGAACATACTATGTTTTGTTTACCCAGTCATCCACTGATGGACATTCGGGCTGTTCTCCACCTTTTGGCTATTGCTGGAATAATGCCGCTATGAACATTAGTGTATAAATACCCAGTTGAGCCTTTGCTTCCAGTGCTTCGGCTCTAACCCAGACTTGGAATTGCTGGGTCATACAGTAATTCTAGGTTTAATGTTTCTGAGGGACCACCACACTGTTTTCCACAGTGGCTGCACCATCTCACATTCTCACCAGCGTTGCACAAGCAGCCGGTGTCTTCACAGCCTCACCAACACGTGTTATTTTGTTGTTTTTTTATATGTGTTCTTCGGAGGTATGTCTGTTCTCTAAATACTTTGCCCAGTTTTGGATAAGGCCTTTCTCTTTTTTTTCGCTATTGAGTTGAAGGAATTTTTTATACATTCAGGATATTAACCCCTTGTAAGATCTATGATTTGCAAACATTTTCTCCCCTTCTGTGGTTTGCCTTTTACTCTGTTAAAAGTATCCTTTGCTGTACAAACATTTTTAACTTTGATGAAGGCCAGTTTATCTATTTTTTCTTTTGTTGCCTGTGTTTTCGGTGTCATATCCAAGACATCATTGCTGAATCCAGTATCGTGAGGCCTTTACCCCCTTGTTTTCTTCTAAAAGTTATATAAAGTTATAGTCAGTGGTAGGATGGACAGAGCTCTCACAGATGACATAGTAATTACAGTGAAAGGTCAGGCTTCAGGGCAGGCTTTCTCAACCGTGCAATGGGGCCTGGTAAGGCTGAGGCCTCAGCAACTTCCTGTGACCTCCTTATGTTTAGCTCTTCAATCTATTTTGAGTTAATTTTTTTTACATGATGTTTAAGGTAAAGGACCAGTTTTCTTCTTGTGCTTGTTTAGATTTATTTCTGGGCTTTTCATTTTTAAGTTTTTTTTTTTTTTTTTTATCCTCTGCCTTCATCAGCCTAAGTGTGTTAGGTTTTTTGTTTGACTCATTGTCACAAAATTGCTGCCTCAGTACAACATATCATATCCTATATCCACATTCAAACACAAGACCCAAGGATGTGGGAGTGTGTGTTCCTCTCTTTTTCAATCAGGAACATTTCCCAGGAGTTCCCTGGCCCCAGCAGACTCCTTTTATGCAATGTTTCACAGAAGACAGTTTGTACCTGCTTATGAAAACAGATCATTACATTTTCTAGAATTTTGTGAGCTGGTTGTTAAATACTACTGCCCTTGAAATTGCCATGGTGGGAGCAGTTATAACACGGAACTCGATGAACACTACATACAAGACATTTTTTCCCCTAGGAGATTGGTTCACCAGCACACACTTGCCTGTAAGTCTTCCTAGTCAGAACTAGAGAATATGGCCACTCCTAGCTTAAAGAACTTGTGGAGGTATATATCATTTTCAGCCTCTCTCAAGGGAAGCAGACTTTGCTAGCAAGGTAGGAAAGGGAGAACTGGGGAAGTAGCTGTGGTGTTTGCCACTGGTGGCTCCCAAGGCTGGGAACTTTCTGAACTCACTTCAAAGCATGTCTTTGAAATGTCTCTGAGGACAGAGTGCTATGGCTCAGTGGTAGGATGGACAGAGCTCTCGCAGATGACATAGTAATTACAGTGAAAGGTCAGGCTTCAGGGCAGGCTTTCTCAACCGTGCAATGGGGCCTGGTAAGGCTGAGGCCTCAGCAACTTCCTGTGACCTCAGTGGGGGCTGTCCTGACACAGAGACTGTGAATAGCCAATAGACATGAGTCTTGGGTGCTGTGCTGACAGGAGGGAAGGAGCCCTGTGGGGCTGCTACAGGGGTGGGGGTCTTAGATGGTAGTAGAAGTGTTCCCTGAAGAAGAGCCAACAAAGGAAGGCTTGCCCTCCTTGGCCAGGAATTCCTTGCTGATCAGTCCATGGGTGGCCATGATCCTGAGGAGTCCATGGCGAAACTTCTGGCCAATGAAGGCATAGATGAGGGGATTGAGACAGCTGTGGAGGAAGCCCAGGATCTCGGTGGCATCCAGGGCTCGGCCAATGTCATTTCGGCGTTCACAGGTCTCCTCGATGATCCGGAGCCTCATGAGGGTGTCTGCCATCAGGACCAGATTGTAGGGCAGCCAGCAGAGCAGGAAGACCAGCACGACAGCAAAGATGACCCGCATGGCCCGGTGCTTCTGCCCCATGTGGGCCTGAAAGAGCGTGCTCAGGGTGAAGCCGTAGCAGAACAGCATGACCAGCAGGGGCAGGAGGAAGCCAAAGGTCTGGGGCAGGATCCGCATCACCATGCGCCATTTGGTTGTGTTGGCACCCATATCCTCGTAGCAGACTGGGCCTGAATCAGGTGGGTAGACGGTCTTGCGGAAGATAAAGATGGGCAGGGACAAGATCAGAGATAGTGTCCAGATGCCTAAGCATATGAACTTGACCCAGTGCCGCTTCTGAGTCAGTGTGCGTGTGGCATGCACAATGGCCAGGTAGCGGTCCACGCTGATACAGGCCAACAGTAGAATACCACTGTAGAAGTTGACTTCCTTCAGGAGTGAGACCACCCTGCACATGATTGTGCCAAAGATCCAGCCCGTTGTCTTGTAGGCAGCCCAGAAAGGCAAGGTGAAGGCAAAGAGCAGGTCAGCCAGGGCCAGGTTCAGCAGGTAGATGTCAGTGACAGAGCGGCTGACCCGGTTGTATAAGACAACCAGCATCACCAGGGAGTTTCCCAGCAGGCTCAGCAGGAAGACCAGGGCATAGATGGCCACCACAGCGTACTTGTTGATATCCAGAGATTCTGGTCGGCATGGGGAAGTTCCGGGAAAGGATAAAAAGTCTGTGTAGTTATAAGTGTAGTTATAAGCGTCGTCCTCATCCCAGACGAAATTGCTCCAGTCCAAGCTGTCTGAGTCATCCATTCTGTGGCCTAGAGAAGAGAGACGAGTGTTACTGCACCATGAAGTCTCCCCAGGTTCCAGCCTTTCTGCCTTGGATAGGATTTTTTGCATCAGTTTGTGTTACATGGCAGTAACTTTCCCTTCAGGGACTATTAGGGGCTATAACTCTAACGTTATGAGGCACATTTAGTGATAAATTGTATATTTCATGACAAGAGTATAGTTCCATTCAAAGGCAGAGAGAGGTTCTTAGCACTTTCCATGACATTATCATCACTCAAGTCACTGTGGAAACTTCCCTTTGGTTAATCTCTACAGAACCTGTTGTCTCAGATACCTCCGTGGTGAGCATCCCTGACTGTTGAGGCCGAGTTTAATGTCAGAAACGCGAGGTGTTGTTCAGTTCTCAATATGGGGGATTAAGCAGGCAATCCAATTGAGTTGGACCCTCTAAAAAGATCAAGGCTTAACACTACAGCTGAGAGATGAATCCCTTTGTCCAGCTTTCTGTAAGTTACTTAAAAAAAGAAGTGCTCTTGAAAAACTGAACAATAACAGCGTCGAGTTTCAGGATGCTTGAGCTAGAAGAAAGTTTACCCAGCATTGTTCTTTTGGGAGGCAGGAAGACTTCTCTGAGAGTATTTGTGTGGTTTGAAAAACTATACGAAAAGTCATAAGCAGGTGGCTGACTGATTCTCCAACTGGGCGGGCAGGGATGTAACCGATTACCTTGGGAGCTCTGGGCAGTCATATTCCACCATGAGGGAGCCAGAGAAAGCCAAGATGCTCCCAGATAAGGAGAAGGGATGGCAGGAAGCAGAGAAGGCAGGTGGAGACATATTCTCCTTGATTTGGTGGCTTCCCAGTCCTGGTGGGAACCCTTCTTGTCCTGCCAGTGCACGCCTTCATCCATTCCTGACTTCCCAGCGCATCCAGGTAACTCACCTCTGTTGTTGGTGCTGCCCTTGTTAGAGGATTAGTGGGCACCTTGCTGCTGGGGGGAAGTTGCAGCCACTGAACTATTATCCCAATTTTCAAAGAGTAAGTAGACTAAAGTAAACCAGCTGCAGAATTAGCTTCCTTTTGAACCACAAAATAAATAGCCATCGTGCCATTTCTTTATCATAAGGTATGAGCATCCTGTGACCATAGGCAAGTCTGTAACCCACCTTCAAATGGAACCCCGTGTGAAAGAGAGAAGATATAAAATAAAAGTCTCAGGAATTACTTCACCCTCATTGGGATGCTCATAATAAAAAAAAAACATGGACAATAACAATGTTGAAGAGGAATTTGTTCCCTTAAGTGCATCTCTGATCATCTGCTTATCTCTGTGATGAATCAGAGATGCACTTAAGGGAACAGATGACCTAGGAGAAGACCCACCTTTGAGAGAGAATGCCGATCACTGATGGGCACGGAGAGCTTCTGCCTGCAGAGAGGAGAACCCCACACCTATGAGCATCAGCTGTGAGAAGATAGGGCTGGGGACGCTGCAGAAACTTCCCTATGAGAAGAGGCAGCGGCAGGCAGTCATGCTTTACGGATAAGCCCTCATTCTGGACAGTCCAGTGCTCATCTGTGCTGGGGTCAGATGGCAGGTATATGGGTGAGCTCCATTCCCATGTGAGTCAGGACAGAAGTAGAGAACTCAGAAAAGGGAACCAGGCCACCAGGCCAGGGCGATGACCTCCGGCCACTGGCTGGGGTGGGGGTGTAGTGCGAGTGGTAGGGGGAATGTTCTGTTGTTGTTTTTTAACCAGTCTCTAGAGGTGATGATTTGGCAGTTAAAGGGAGAAACTAAGGAGAGGAAGGTAGGAAGATGACACTGTGAGATCCACTTTCTGACTCACAGGTACATGGTCTCCCTTGATTGTTACAAATAGATATGGTTGAGCTCCAGTGTACCAGTGAGAAGACAGACACAGTGAGGCTCAGAAACCAGTCCGTGGTCACAGAGCCTAGAAGTGCTGCAGCCCAAATTCCAAATAGTGTGAGTGGATCCAGAGGCTAGTTTCAGTCTGCAAACCTGCTCCTTAAAAAAAATCCCACCTCTGAGCTCTAGGCTCAGAGGAGGCCAAATGCAACTGTCTTCATTCATCCACATCCAGGGGATTCTGACACCAGCCCTCGCCAGCATGCCCCCTCAGTGCTACCCCAGTGAGATCGAAGTCGTGTACTGGAGGCTCACCAGTGGGGAAGTCAATGCCACGTCTGCCTTCGACGCCAAGATCAGCCCCCAGCGTCTGTCTCCAAAAAACATCGCTTTTGACATTGTCAAGGAAAAAGGTGATTGGAAGGGTCTGAGGATTGCAGTGAAACTAACCATTCAGAACACACAGGCCCAGTTTAAGGCGGTATCTCTGCCTCTGCCCTCACCATTAAAGTCCTCTAGAAATCACCAAGAGACAGAAGGAAACAGCAAAACGTTAAGCACAGTGGAAGTATCGCTTTTGATGAGATTGTCAGTATTGCCTGACAGATATGGAACCAATCTTTAGCTACAGAATTTTCTGGAACCATTAAAGAAATCCTGGGGACTGCCCAGTCTGTGACCTGGCATGTTGATGGCTATTACCCTTATACATGAGAGATGACATCAACAGCGGTAGAATGCTCAGCTAGTTAAGAACCACAACCAAAAAAAAATCATAACTCACATATTAAATATATTGGTAAGGTAAATTCTTGAGTTACTGTGAAGTCATCCTGTGTAGTTCACTCCCATTGCTTGATGTGTTATGCATTGATTTCTTGGCTGTTCCTTAAGCCCAGAATGAAAGAAACAGCCCTCTCAGGAATGATAAACCAAACTCCCGTGGGCTGGCTGGCCCCTACTGACTACCCAGGCATGTTCTCAGGGACCCAGCAGGAGATCCCCTCATCCAGCAAAACTGCCAGCCCCTGAATGACTCACAGTAGTTCGGAAAAAAACAGGGATGGGATGATTCTAGTTTATTTCATGAAAATGCTGTAAGATTCCACACGTAAAGCAATCTTTGTCACAGTAACAACAACAAAAACCAGTCATTTTAATATAGTTCCACTATTTTTTCTCTCTATGCATATCATTCACACATATTTGCATTTAATATATGGGACGAGGCACTCCACAGCGTCTGCTCCTTTCTCACACCTAACTTTGGCCAAAGCATGGAGAGCTGGCTGAGCTGGGAATGGAAGGGGGTGGGCATTGAGTTGCCCTCAGTGGTTTTTGGAGACAGGTGTAGCGGAGGAGGGCAGAAGCTCTCCTTTTGAAGATAGGAAGGTGTAAAGAGAAAGAATGAAGAGACCTAGGGGTGTGGGTGAGGCCCACCAGGGGTAGGGAAAGATGCCTGGAATGAAATGGAGGCTGGTGTCCAGGAAGACAGAGAACAGGGCTGGTCTGAGTGGCGAGAGGGGCGAGTGTTTCAAGACTTACCAGGGCTCTGGGCTTTTCACCTGTGGGATACCTCCCGGAGAGCAGATGTGCCTGACTGCAAGGGCGGTGGTGATGAGAACAGAGTGGAGGAAGTGAGTGGTGGATTAGATTGCTCAATCTGGGGTGGAGTCAACTGCGGGTGCATGATGCTCGTGATAACTTGAAAAATTAATTCTCAGGTCAGCTCTTTGATCACCTGATAGTTTATGGACTGGTAAGGTTCAAAGTAGGAAAGGACCTGTGGCATTTTCTAGCTAATATTTGCATTTCACAGATGAGGACACTGAGGCTCGTACAAAGGAAGTGATTGGCACAGGGCTGCTGAGATTTCTCTCCTCTTTGCCCTGATCTCAGCAGACCCTGCCCTGTCTGACTCTCTGCACACTCCAGATGCTTCGGGCTTCCCAGGGCTTACTCTCTCTCCTGAACATCTTTCATACCCGAAAGGGGAACAACTCACTAAGACAACGGAGAAGGAACTTAAGCTTCTGGACAGGCTGGTAGCTTTCTTCCTCGGACCTAATGCCTCTGGTCTCCACTCCACCCACCTCAGGAATCCTTAAAGCTGCACAGATTTCTTCTCTGCGCCGCCCTCCCATTCCACCTCTCCTTGTCTATTACCTCACTCCCCAAACATCTGCTTTGACCCTGAGAACCTCTTAGGGCATTTCTCTTTTTTCTTGGCTTGTGTCCTTGGGATTGGGTCTGCCATAGTTACCACCTTTGGAGCCAAGACCATCTAATCTGGAAAGAAAGCTTTCAGGTACAACTTAAAACCCTACCCAAGTCCAAACACATTTTTTGTAAACAGTGTTGACTGACACTAAGAACGTAGTTTGTCACATTTGCTATTGATTGCAATCGAAAGGATAAACACAGGCAGAGCAGTGAACACAAATTCACCTCTCCCTCCTCAGCCCTACCTAGCAACTCTTTCCCTCCACCACTCTGTGCTCCAACCTCTCGCCCAGTGAGTGCTCAGAGCCTGCGGCCAGCTCACCGAAGCTGCTTCCCCCTAGGAAAGAACCTCTGAGTCCAACTGTTTGGCAAACATTCCTTGTCACCTCCCTCTTTCCAATGTTTAAGAAGAATGCAATGACTCCTGGCCAGGTGATGCTAACACCAGAAGCTCTTACCCACGGAGAGAGGCAGGTGGGGGTGGCAGTCAAGAACCCTGGCAATAAAATGAGATTACCCAAAACGTAGTTAAAACGCATAGAAAGCATGGTGTTTGCTTTGATTGTTGTGATCATTATTATGGAAATAGTGTGTCAACTGATAGCATGCTGTCTCCCGATGTCCCCAAGCAAGACAAAGCAGTGGGTCTGCTGTCCAGTCTGACTTGGATGGACATTTTAACTCGCTCTGACCTGGGTAGCCGTAGTCACACGGGCTGTGCTGTTGGGTGCCTACGAGGGCCTAACTTCTGGAAAAGGCTTTTCAGAATCTGTATCATTTACTCCTCACAAAAAAATGCACTCACTCCTCACAAAGAAATGCACTTTCTGAATGAGGAAACTAAGATTCTAGGAGTTAAGCAACTTACCTAGGATGACGCAGATGAACTGGGTGTTAAGCAGTTTTAAAAGGTTTTTTTTTTTTACCTGACCTCAAACCTTGTATTTTTGTCCACTTTAACAAGGGGCTGGATCCCAGCCTGAGTTTTCCGAGCTTTGTTAGGTATTACTCTTTCCCAGACAACGGAACACAAAAGGTATAGAACAGGGAGCCCAGATTTGACATTTCTCAACTCACCCACTTCTTGATTTTCATTAGGTTGATTTCATTTCCACTGACCTCACCACACGCATGTTGACGGTGGTGAAGTGAATAAAGAACCAGCTCGCAATCCTGGTTCTGCTGTTAACGATTCGTGTGAGCTTGGACAAGCCTCTTGTCTCTGAGCCTTGATGTGGGTCATTGAAAAAATAAGGAGATTGTGATGGGGGAACTCAGGAGTTGAAAATGTTTTAGCTTCTAGATGTAGTTAATAGGCTTGGTAATTAATGCGCGTAGAAAGTTGTTGTTCCAGGAACCAGAACTTCTGACCAGACTGAGCCTGACTCCAGGAGACCCACAGCAATTGAACCTTTGTGCCCCAGCAGGACTGCAGGTGATCAAGATGGAACCTGAGCCGTTGTGCTGCGGGGAGAGAACGCCCACCACTCAGGACACAGATAAAGAATCACCAGTCAGCAGAGGAGAGGGTGCTAGGAAAGTCTCCGGACTGCAACTTTTATCTGATTAACCTTTTCCTCTGAATTCCAAACCCCTTACCTACTTTTTCTCTGAACTCTAAACCTCTTACCTACACTCTCTTAAGGTCGGCTTGAGATGAGACATAAGACAGTTTTTAGGGTACATAATGGGCCATCTTCTCAGATTGCTGGCCACTTAAACAAAGCACCCGTAAAGATTCAATCTTTGTCTCTGCTGATTGGTTCTCATAGTGACAGGCAGCACGAAAGCTGACTTTCCCACTTTCAATTGTTCCAGATCTGGACTGTCTGATATGATAGCTACTAGCCACATGTGGCTACTTAAGTTAAAATTAATTGTAATAAAAAATTGAGTTCCTCAGTCATATCAGCCATATTTCAAGGGCTCAATAGCCACACATGACTAGTGGCTATCCCATTGGATAGTCAGATATAGAATCCTTGTGTTATTGCAGAAAGTTCTTTTGTGCTGTGCTATTCAGGTGATGGCGGTTATCTCTTTAGTTCTAAGAGTCTGCATGTCATCACCTCAGTTCTCAGAAGACTCAGACCAAACTTCCCAAGTCCCTTCCATCAGAAATAGGTCCCCAGAAGTTCTAAGACTGAAGAGCTCACCTACCTGCTGGTGCTGCTACAGCTGCTGCTATTACTGAAGTGGCCTTTGATACTTCTGCTGTGACTCAGGGCTTGGGAGCAGTCAGGGCTGTTGGACAGGAAGAAAGTGAACCAGACTTTATGGGGAAACTTCTGAGCCAGAGTTGCCAAAGGGGAAATCCAAGAGGCCCACCAGGGGAGGCGTTCCCACCAGGGGAGGAGGAGTTCCCACAGAGGAGCAACAGGTCTGTCCTAGCACTCTGACTCCAGGCCAAGGAGATTCCGTATCAGCCCTGGGGATGTTCATGCCTTCCTGTCTAATGGCTTCCGGAGGAGACTGCTAGTCTGAAGGTGGAAGTTTGCCTAGTCCCTCTGTGTCTCTGAGAGTCTTGAACCCCGACTTCCTTCTTTAAAAGGAAGATGTAGGCGACCCCAGCTGACAGACTTGCCTAAACTCACATGTGCACTTTCTTCCTTCTTTCTAGGGTCAGCATGACAAATGTCATGACAAATGTCCCTCTCCCGTCTTTCTGGTGATTTCCTGCACCTGGCTGTGGGACCCACCGCCTCTCACATTCTTGAGGATCCTGCCTCCTGGCCCTTTCCCTTCAACAACCTTCTTTCCCCTTTAGCCCCTGAACTTGCTTATGCCCTTCTCTCCTTCCCCTGTTCTAGGTCCCATTTAGCTACCATTCCCCTGTGCCCTCCTTCTCATATGCAAACTTTTTGACAAAGCAGCTGTCTCTACTTTGCCAGCTCTCGTTCACTGTTTAACCCACTGAAACTAGCTTCCTTCCTACTGTTCTGCTGAAACAGCTTTTGCTGGGGTTACCAGTGACTTCTGGTTTACTAGATCCAATAAACCCTTCTCTTCAATAAAACTGCCTTAATGTTATAAAAATAAAGCATGCATATTGCCATGAATATAGGTGAAACAAAAGCCTATAAAATAAAACTTGAAAGATTCTCTTCCATTCCTCCGTTCACTTACACCTGTCTTTCCCCAGACTTCCCCTGTGCGTATACAAACACATTTTCTTTCCTTCCTTAATAAAAATGTACCATATTTAACTAGTCATATTTTATGCACCATAGCAATTTATTTTCTGCATCTTACCATGGACTTATTCCACATCAGTACATAGAGATCACCTCACTTTTTTAAAAATTTGAATTTATTGGGGTGATACTCATTCGCAAAACAATACAAGTTTCAAGCGTACAATAAAACATCCTCTGCACATCACATCATGCGCCTGTCACCCCAGGCAAAGTTTCTTTCCATCCCCGTTTTCTCCCTTTGCCCCCTGCCACCTCCCCCTCGCCCCTCCCCCCCTCTGGCCACCACCACACTGTTGTCTGCATCTATGTGTCATGTATGCACGTTTTTTAGCTAATCCCTTCATCTTCTTTCATCCAGTCCCCCTACCTCGCTCCCCTCTGACAGCTACTAGTCTGTTCCGTGTGTCCACGCCTCTGTTTCTATTTTGTTCGTCAGTGTATGTTGTTTATTAGAGTCCACATGTAAGGGAGATCATATGGTGATTGTCTTGCTCTGACTGGCTTATTTCACTTTATCTCACTCTTTTTAATGACGACATATTGGACCATGGCATGCATGTATCATGATTTACTTGATAATTACCTTATAGATGGACATTTATGTCCTTGCTATGAGCTTCTTTGGATGCAGGTCTTTGGAACATGTCTAAGTGTTTCTGTAGCTTTATCATTTTTCAGGGGCATATCTGTGCATGTTTCAGTTTTGATCAGTAAGACCACATGGCCCTTCAGAAAGATTGTGCCCGTTTATCCTACCACCATCAGCTTATAAAAGGGCCTGACATCCTCTCTGCTCATACTACTCCGTGTTTGTCAGCTGCGGTAAACTAGGTATTTTCTCTCAGCCTGCTCTAGGCTTTTTAACTTTTACTTATGGTGAAATGGTCACTGTTGAAGCCCTATCTCGTCTGGTCTCTGCATCATTTAATCCCACTGACCCCATTCTCTTCCTTTTCCTGACCCTCTCTTGGTCTCATTTGTTGCTTCATTATCAATTCATCCCTGAACTTGGATGTTTCCGGGGTTCTGTCTTAGTCCTCTTCTCTACCTGCTTCCCCCAGGCCAGCCCACCCCCTTCTTTGGCTTTCGTGACCACCCAGTTCACCAGTGACTCCCATACCTATAGTTCCCAACTTCTCTTCTAAGCGCTCTCCTCCGCCCCCACTCTCACATGCACTTACCTCGTGAAGTCCCCCCTGAGGTTCCGTGGATGCCGCAGACTCCGGGCGCTTTTCCTCCGGAGTGCGCTCTCTTCCTCGTGGCGCTCCCCCGCCCTCCCCTCCCTCTTCCTATCTGCCAGACTCTCTCTTTAACATCTCTCTTCACCACATGGCCAGGAGTTATCTCCTCACCACCTTGCCTGACTGCGTTAGGCAACACTTCATTCTCTCTCCTCCAAGCTACTGTCAGGCGGCAGCTGTGGATTCCAGAGCTGGGCTGTCTGAGTTAGGGTCCCGGCGACGTCACTTATGGGTTGTAGAACTTGGGCAAGTTATTTAATCTCACTAGGTCTCAGTTTCATCAACTGTAATATTATGGGGACAATGAGGACACCTACTGTCACGTGGATTAAATGAGTCCACATTTGCAAAGCACTTAGAATGGAGCTTGGAGGTGTTGGCTGCTGCTGCTGCTGCTGCTGCTGTTACTACCACTGTTCTAAGTGCTCTCTGCCTCCAGTCTTCCCTCCACTCTGCCACCTGGACAATCTCCCTAAAGCGTCAGCTGGATCACGCTCTTTTCCTCTTACGACCCTTCAAGGACCCCCATTACCCTCAGCGTCAGACTCCTGACTCGTGCACCTAAGGCTTCTGTGCCTGACCCCTGCGCACTTCTCCACCTCGTTTCAGGCCACACCTCCTTGAACCCTGAACTTCGGCCACAGGGAACCATGTGCACTTCCCCCAGGAACTGTTCAGGAGGACCTGTTCAGGACCTGTTCAGCAGGCCCTGAAGAGGACCCCCAGGGTCCTCTTCAGGGCCTGGCACGCAGTTCCTTCCCCCTGGCATGCTCTTTCCCACTCTCTTGGTCTGGCCGACTGTCCCATTTCCTTTCACACTCAGCCCAGTGGTCACCGCCATGGACTGCTGCCCCGTGCTCTCTGCACCCCTGGGCTTCCTCTATCACATCTTCAGTTACAGGGTTTTGTGATCATCTGTTTGGCTGATTCCTACTCATCACCGTGAGGTTTGTGAAAGCAGGTATTGTGTGTGTGTGTGTGTGTGTGTGTGTGTGTGTGTAAAATCTCCGCATCCCCAAGCCAATCAGTGTTTGGCATACCCTAGGTGTGTAATACAATTTTCTTGAGCACTGAATGAATTGACAAAGTGGGGAAACTGTCGTATGTTGGAACATCTGAGCGATGTCTAATTAAAGAAATAACTGCCGGCCAGATTTCCCAGGGCACCCCCAGCCTCTGAGCATGTTGTAGTCCCATCAACAGCAACAATCCACATCGTACTGGCTCAGACCCGTGTGCTTGCACAGGGCTTCATCCCTTCAGAAAGTGCTCCTCCCCAGCAACTTGGAGAGTTTGTTGGGGGCACCTCCCACGTGCTTCTGAGTGCTGCTGTGTTAGACATGTGGCCTGGAGTCACTGCTGAGGGTCTTGCACCCTCGCAGTGTCATGCTCTGGGGTGGTTTTGTGCCGGAGTGTCCCCAAGTTCTAACGAGCTTTTCCAGGGTCTCTGTGGAGCTCCTGTGCTCTCCATTGGACTTGGTGGGGACTCTCTGGGGAGTGGTGTACAGCTGGCTCCCAGCATTGCTCTTCCCTCTCTCCCAGCCAAGGGTACTTCTCCCCCGTTCTTGGCCCCTGACTTCCTTCTGATGAGTTCTTGTCTAGTAGTATCTTGCTTCCTCTTTGAACATAGGCTTCTGCTAGGTCCCCTCTCCTGCTTCAGCTTATCAGGCAGGTCTCAACACCATGCTGGAGTTCCTGCTGAATATGATGTCTCCAGCTCTGGTAAGAACCCTGCCCTAATAAAAGTATCAGAGCAAGTAGGACTTTCAGAAAGAGACCGCTGCCCTTCAGGGTAGGGTGATGCTTTTGCCCTGATCGCTCTGGGAGTCCCAGCTCTGCTACTAGCCCCCGCCCCATGCCTGCTCTCTCCATCCCTCACCCCCCCTGCCCCACCACCCCGAGGCTGATGCTGCTAAGGAGAAGTTCTCACCAACTCTCCAGGGCAGGAACTGCTCTTGCAAAACTGTTGCTCCATGAGTGGCAATGGGATGCAACTCTAGGTGGTTCTGACCCCAAGAGGTGGTCCACAGGCTCTGGTCGGAGCCCGGAGTTGACCAACCACCGCAGAGCTGCTGATAGTTGCGTGAGGCGGGGGGAACGGGGACAGTGTGCATGCCTGCCTGGGGCCTCGGAGTCTGCCCCGGAGCCTAGGTATTAGGGCAGCAGATTGCCTTGTTATAGGGTGGGGCTCACATTTTTTTTCAGAAACACCGCAACTGGGTGCCCGGTGAATGACACAATTTGTGTAAGACTTCTTGGGCAGTCAGAGGATATGAACTTTCACCATGGAGCTACATGAGTCCGCATCAACCGTCTTTATTCAAGCCTGGCTAAGTGAGCACTGCACAGAGAGTCACCTGGACCCCACCCCTCCCACCTGCCACTCTCAACTTGGGACCGTTCAATTCACCACTGTGGCTGGAAGGGAAGGGTGGAGAGGCCCAATTTCGATGTCTGTGCCCCCTCTCCTGCCCACCAAACCGGATACCCTGGGGAGCAACGGCGATTCTCGCACGCTGCTAGTGGGAGGGTACAGCATACAGTCTACAGTCTCTTTAGGAAATAACTCAGCAGTTTCTTAAACACATACTCAAAACAGGACCCCATCATTTCCTCCTCGGGTATTAACCCATGAGAAAAACAGGCATATGTCTACACAAAGATTCGTACACAGATGATGATAGGAAGCTGATTTGTAATAGCTTCAAGTTGGAAACAACCCAAATGTTTAGCAGCAGGTGAAATGTGTGGACAAATTGTGGTACATCCATGCGGTGGCACCCTACTCAGCAGTACGAGGGAACTATGGGTATGTCCAGTAACATGGAAGAGCCTCAAAGTAATTATGCTGAGTGAAGGAAGGCAGACGGTGTGCTTCCATTCACATAAAATTATATATATGTGGACATATATAGTCTAGAAAATGCAAGCTGGTTTCTAGTGACAGAAAGCAGGTCAGCGGTTGCCTGGGGATGGGGAGAGGAGCGGGGTGGGAGAGATCACAGAGGGCATGGGGACACTTGGGGGCTGATGGATGTGTTCATTCTTTTGAGTACGGTGATGATTTCATGGGTATAAATTAAAGTCAAAAGTCATCAAATTGTTCAATTTATGTGAAGTGTATTATATGTTAGCAGAACCTCGGGAAAGCTGTTAAAAACAAAACAGAACAACAACAGGCCCTGAAGCAGACCCAGACAGAAGGTCTGGAGGACCCGGAGACCGGGCAGTACCGTGAGGGGTGGCGGCCTGGGTGAGGAGGCACGTGGAGAAGAAAGGCAGGCTGTCGGATCTTATGCGCAGTCAAGGGCTTTCTGAGCCCAAACGGACCTCAGAGCAATTGGTGCCTGGTGTTTCCGCGTGTTACAGGAAAACGTCCGGGGAGCGGAGAGCTTTGACAAAGTCGCCCAGCTCTTCAGTGGCGGATGCAGGGCTGGAGCCTGTCTCCTGCCTGCTGACCTGGCTCCTTTCATCCTCTGCACCCCAGTCTGGCAACTCAAGTGCTGTCCGCCTCCAGTGACCAAGTTCTAGAAAGCAGTGCCGGTCAGACCACAGGTCCCGGGAGGGTGGAGGGGAGGTGGGGTGGGATGGCCAGTCCTGGGTAGGTCTTGATCAGACGCCCTGGGCTTCTCCTTTCTGGGCACAGGATGGGCAGCGGTGCTCTTGCTTCTTGTAACCCACAGAGCAGGCATGGCAAACCAGGCCTCCGCACAGCCTGGGAGCAAAGGTGGGAAGAGTGAAGAGCACGGGGTGGGGGGTGGACAGAGGAGGGGCCATAGCGTTCGAGCATATTCGAGTCTACCTATCTGTTTCTCATATCCCGGCAGGACAGCCCCGGGTCTGTCCCAGGAGACCTCCCCTTTCCTGAAGGGTGTCCCGATGCCCCACTCCTCTAGGGTCCTCTTATTCCAAATGGCAGGTTCTCCTGATGGCCCACTTTCCTCCCTCCTGTTGCTTGTCCTGCCACTGTGTTCCCAGAGGGAGCTGAGGGCAGCAGCTTAATAGACTTAACAAGAAACCCATTAAGTCTATTCTTGGAAGGGTTACGCGGTCCCATCTTCCAGATGCCATTCCTGTCTGACCTTTCCCCACTGTTCTCATTCATGTCTTTGCTAAGTGCTAGGTAATATGAGTGGTCAGCTTTACGATGTCTTTCATAAATGCCCAGTTCCTGTGTGTCTCCCTTCCCCAGAGTGGGCAGGGGGCTGTGGGCTGGTGGAAACGAGGCTGTCCCAGAGGAAGGATTCTGTGTCCTACCCATTACCTGCATGGGTACCGCCGAGACAGCCGGCCAAAGACCTTGCTACAGCTGATGCAGCATCCAGGGGCCACGGAAGAGAGGTGCTGAACCTTCTGCCACAGGTTATCTTTCTCTCTGACGGGCAGATGGAGGGGATGGGGGCGGGGAGAGAAAAAGGGAGAGAGAGAGGGAGAGAGAGAGGGAGAGAGAGAACACAGATAGGAAAATATAGAGTTGGGAATGGCACAGATGGAGAGACAGAGACGAACAGAAAGAGAGGGTGTTTCACAAAGATGAAGCATAAGGGAGAGAGAGTGACAGAGGGAGTCTCACAGAGACAAAGACAGAGAAACAGTGGGGCAGAGCAACAGAGACACAGAAATGGGGAGGGAGACACAGAGGGACAGAGAGACAGTCACTCAGAGAGAAAGGAAGTCAGGGAGTTGGTGCGGGAGCCAGACAGACACAGAGAAGTGGAGAGATAAATGCAGTGGGAGAGAGACAGAGGGAGGAAGATGCAGGGGCAAACAGGGACAGACACAGAGAGGGAGAGATGAATATAGACAAAGATGAAAAGGCAGAGAAAGACACAGCGATGGTGAAAGAGAGAGAGAAAAATAAAGAGTTAGAAAGACTCACACACAAGAGATCAGGGAGACTCCAGCCTTTCCAGGAAGACTGGATGGATGGTGACAGGTCCCTCTTGCCCAACATGACCTTAACCCACAATTTAAGAACCTGTTCATGGCCCGCCTCCTCTAAGGAGTGCTTCCTGTTGGTAGAGGCCCCTGGGGCCTTCTTGGCCCAGACTCCCATAGCACAGCGCGCCCATTATTCTATCCCGCACTTAGTACAGACTGCCCTGAAGTTCCGTATGCTTATGCACCTCCAAAACTTACCTTCATGGTTCTTTTTAGAGAGTGTGTTAGAAAGGTGGGTTGTTTTCAATTTTGATTGAAATGATACATGCCCATTATGTAAAACTGAACAGTACAGAGGGTTTTCTATCAAAAGGTAATAGACACTTTCCCATTCTCAATGGCAAACCACTCCTGACATCTTTTAGCTTTCTCTCCTGGTGGCACTTCCATATTTAAGTAACATGCTCCTATCTCTCCTTTCTGATTTATCGAGAGGACGTCTTCTATAGAGCTCCTTACCTTGATGTCAGAGGGTTTAGCTTATCTATAGCCATCTCCACTAAGTCCTTCTCCTTCCTCCCAATGTAGGTATATCCCTATTTCTGGTTCCCTTATTGGTTACTACTGGACTTTTACAGCATATTCTCATACATTTATTTCTTACTCGTTCTATTAACTATAGGCAGTGTCTTCTGACTGTCTTTCTGTGATACAGTGATGCCAGTATCCCTTTTTGTCTCCCGCCTCCTAGCTGGTCATCTACTCTTGCACCATCGAATAGGGTAGCCGCTAACCACCTGAGACTATGTAAATTTATATGTAACTTAATTACAGTTAGATAAAATGAGAACTTCAGTTCCTCAGTCACACCAATCCCATTTGAAGTACTCAATCAGTCTATGTGACTAGTAGCTACCATTTTGGACAGGACAAGTATAGAACATTTCCATCCTCACAAAAAGTTCTATTGGGTTCTGTTCTACACCTAATGTAGATGGCAACCACATTGTTTAGATGGTAATGCTTATGTTTGTTATAGAATTACCATCATTTTCTGTGCTTTGCCTTTAGGTTGAATCTAACACAGAAAAAAATCAGTGACTAGTATTTACATTATTAGACAATACATAAACGTACTGCTTCAAGCAGAGCTGTGCTGTATAATATTTCCCTTCTTAGAAAATTTTTTGTTTTCCCAGGACTTTCTAATTGCCTTTCTTTTACAGTATATTATTTTATCTTATTGGGGTGACATTGGTTAATACAATTATATAGAGTTCAAGTGTACAATTTTATGATACATCATCTGTATACTGCATTGTGTGTCTAATTGCCTTTCTTTATTCCTTGCATGACTTACTTTTAACATAGCCTAATGACTTCCACCCACCCCCCCCAATTCTCCATCATATCAGGTACTTTATGGGCTCCCAACACTTCTGCCACAGCCTGGACTGACTGCTTCCTGGCCTTGCTGCTCACTTGCCATCCTGGGAATTCCCTTTCGTTGTCTCCTGGGCTAGGGCTACTGTCTCCTGAATTCCACATGTTCTCCTTTCTTGGCTTACTTCCTTGTTTCTCTGGGACACATCCTTAATTAGCTTCTTAAGAATGCTATGTGGGAGGTGAATTTTCTGTGATCTGTCTGAAAAGTGTCTTTTTCTTCATCACCTTCCCTCCTGGCTTTGCAGTTTGGTGGAACACAGAATTCTAGGGCAAAACGCAGCTCTTAGAAGTTGAAAGTGTTACACCATTGATTCTTAACAGTTGTTGTGTTCTCCTTCTTTGATAAGTGACCTGTCTTTTAAGATAGTCTTTTTATCTTTGTTTAACAGAAATTTCACAATGATGTATCTAGACATGGTCCCCCCTTTCATTTATTGTGCTGGTCCCTCAGTAAAATCTTTAAATCAAATGTGACCGTTAGGGCTGGGAACGTCTCTCATGTTGTTACCTGATTCAGTCTCTCTCTCTCTCCCTCTCCCTCCCTCGGAATTCCTGTCAGTTGAAGAAATTATGGAACTTCTGGATTGATTCTTTAGGTCTCTAATTAGTTCGTTCATATGTTCTACATCTCTGTGCTTTTTATTCTAGTTTCTGAGAGACTGCCTCATCTTTCTCGTCCAACCCTAGTGAATTTAGAAAATCTTCAGGGATATTTTAATTTCCAAGAATGTTTCTCATCTTTTGGCGGTTTGCTTCCATAGCCCCTTCTTTAATGGAAGATGGCTCTTTCTTTGTTTATCTCCTTTTTATGTTCTAGACTGTCCTCAAATGCCTACAAAACTGGGTTGCCATTTCACGTGAGAGGAGGCAGTCAAGTTGCTGGAGCTCCGGGTAGCAGACAGTGGTCATTGACTTGTGGCTTCCCTTTAGGAGGGACTGGGCTGGCCGCTATCTGCTGCACCAGGCTCTCAGATGCCAGAACACATTGCTCTCCATTATTCTCCAGATAAGGACATTTTGATTATTTGCTTGGGAGATAAGCCCCTCCACTGTTGAACGTCCTGCAGCTGGGGAGGCAGGCAGAGAGCAGGGGGTGCACACTGCTCTTTCTAGTGGCTCTGCCAGTTGATTTTTCCTGATTTCTACCCCTCATCTCACTTCTGCCACGTGTGCTCCCGGTGTCCCTGGGCTCTAATGTTCTAACTTGGGCTCAATCCAGTCCCCACTTCTCCATCCATTTCCCGGCTTCTGGAAACTGGCTGAAATCTCTCATCTGTGGTTGGCCCCTCCACCTTTCTCTCTGTTGTAAGTTTTATTCTTTTACAATCATTTTGGTGAGATCTGAGGATGGAGAACAGATGCTGTGTGGTCAGTTTAGCATCTTGATGCAGAAGTCAACCTCCATGGCTTTTTTTTTTTTTTTCACTTTTTGCTTAGGGCCATGTCTTCCCAAATGCTTTTGCAAGGGACATTATATCATGTAGTTTGGGACCTTCCGATGAATTTCTTCATCACTAGGAAAAACGTTGGTCTCTCTATTCGTGAACTGGTATATTTCCTTTGAATGGACAGTGAATTTCAGGTAAGTTGCTGTGTTTCCCTTTTTGATTCTGCTGCCACGCTTTAACTCTAACCCTAATCCTAACGCTTTGGGAGTATATGTCTTTTGTTTACCATAAAATCTTCCACTTTTCTTTAACAATCACATATCTATATCTCTATATCTGTCTTTTATCGTTAGCTACCTTAAATTCTTTTGTGAGATACATGGCTAATTTTTTATATCTCCCTTCCTCCCATTTGACAGTTCCTGGGAGGAGATCACCCCTTAAGTTTTTTGTGTGTTCTTTTCAGGTTGATCTCTCCCTTCTCTCATCTTTAATGTCACTTGGGTTTTGTGCTAGAGGATTTAGTCCTAGATGATCCTGCAGCAACCTTCCTGTTCTAATGGAACCTGAGAGCAATGGTCTCTTACCTCCTGGACTGGGTAAAGGATAATGAATCTGGATTATCTCCCACTAGACTGAAGAGCAGAAACCAGGCTTTACCTATCTCCGCCACCCCTCAGTGAGCTTGGAATTGGTCCTGGGGAGCTCTACCTCTGGAACCTAAGACAGCTAACCCAGGACGGCTGCAGGCCCTGTGATCTGAGGAAGTCCAGTAGGCAGGCAGGTGTGGGACATGCGATTACCTCTTGGTTACCCTGCCCTTTCTCTAATCCCTTCTAAGTCCATAGGCTCCTTTCCCTTCTCCTAACTTTAGTAGGCGTGTATGCACGTGGGGGTTGGTTTGGGTGGGGGCATGCATTAGAGCCAGAGGACTCTATGTAATTTTTATGCTGTGTGTCCTTGGTAGCCAAGTCAGCCTCTCTGACCCTCAGTTTGTAAGCTGGGAATAAGAGCAATCAAAAAAAAAAAAAGAAAGAAAGAAACGAGTTAGTATATATAAAGGTCCAGCATCCTGCTTAATAGTTGCTAGCGGAGCAGAATTTTCATCCCCCAGCCTCTAGTTCTCATACCATTTCCCTTTCTGCACCCTGGTCGCTGGCCCCCCACTTACTGAATCAGTTCCAACACCCGCCTCTTCATGGCCTGGACCAGGTCCCGCTGCCCTCGGAGCTCCTCCTCGTACACGGCGCTCCTCCTTTCAGCCTCCTGTTGCTTCTGCTCCAGCTCCGCCTGCAGCCGGGCTCTCTCTTCCTGACACCTGTGCACAAAAGGCAGGCTCCGTTCTCAGGAAAGACGCTCAGCTTTGACTGAGCCAGGCGGGGCCTCTGCCTGACGGGAAGCCCATGAGGGGGCTGGGCGCCCCCTGCAGTTGAAGTCCACACCCACACACACCACACACTATACACACATACACCACATGCCCCCCACCACACCATACATACACACACTACACTACACACGCACATCCCCCCACTATACATGCACACCCCTTACACTATACACATACACCCTCACACTGTACATACATATACCACATATACACACCCCACACTACGTACACACACACACACACCCTACACTACACACACCCACACTATACACACACAAGATCACACATACCACACATACATATACATGTGCCACACTATATATGCACACACTATAGTACACACCCCACACCATACGCGCACATCACATCACACACACACATTACACATATACACACACCACACACACACCACACTATACATAGACACACACATCACATTACACATATACATACACACCATGCACCAAATACACTTACAACACAGTGCACTCACATTCATAGCACATCACATATACCACATACCACACATACACCACACCACACACACCAGGCACACACTCACAACACATACCACACAGGTCACACACTACATGCCACACATGCACACCACACACTATATACCACACACCACACACTCACACCCCACCATGTGACACACACTCCCTACCGCACACTCTCTCAACACGCCACACGCCACACCCCACAGACACCACACCACACACCACACACCACACTGAGCCGTGTGCGGACTGGCACTACAGGCAGGCTCTCCACCAGCCGTGCGGAGAAACGAAAACAGGGCCTAGTGTCGTGTCTTCCTCTCCCGGAGATGAGCCAACATTTCCATTTGTTTTCCTTTCAGAACCATTTCCATTGTAAAATGTAAACCTTCTGAAAGACATGTTCACAGTCCTGGCGGCTCTCTGGGGGAAGGCGGGCGGGCGTCTGGGCACCCAGGCTGGATGGGCTGTGTCCATCTGAAAATAACCGCGGTGCTTGGGGAAGGGAGGGGAGTGATGTAGGATCTGGGGTGGCTTTTGGCTGTAAAATATTTTGAAAAGTTAATGTTACATTGTCTTTTCAATTAAAAAAAGTAATATTAAGCATATGGCTTTCTTAAATTTCTATTTCAGCTTTAGGCTTGGAACCTCTTCAGCTCTATTCTTGCTCCTTCCTTTTGTCTTTAGTAGCTTTCTAGAAGGTTCCAAGAAATCTACTGGACTGGAAATACAAAGGTCCCAGCCTCTTACTCCATCTCGCAGACCGGAGGGTGCTGCGATGGCTGTGCGTGTCCCACGGCCTCTCATGCGTGTGCACGTGCGTGCCCACAGCCCTGGGCCAGAGTGCGTGTGGGGGGAAGGAGAGGCTTGCAAGAGGCTTGACAATGAATTGAGTTATTACTTTTTTAAGTGCTTCCATGTAGCCAGCTGCAGCGAAGAAAACTGGGTGGGCCATGCCATCCAATCAACAACAGAAGGGCACTCGAATTCCGAAAACGCCAATCCCGGCAGCCATAACAAAGAGAGTTTTTGTACTCAGGCATTGGATCGGGGCCATGTTTGGACTTCCAGTGACCAGTCTAGTCTTCAGCCTCCTCCTTTCTTAGCTGCTGATTTCATTTTCCTAAGACAGTTTACTTACCCAGTGACCCCAGGGCCTGTGTTGTGGCCCATGTGGCCCTTAATATGACAACCGAGGTTACTGTGTGTCTTTGAGGTGGGAGGGAATAACAGCAAGCACCTACTGTGTACCAGCAATAGAGCAGTGCCCATGGCTCCTGGTGGAACTGACAGGGTGTTTGGGGCAGTGGTCAAAACAAATGACAGACCAGGAAGATAATTTAAGCTCCGTATACGACAGAAACAAAGGAGGGGCTGAGACAGAGACTTGGGAGGGTGCTCAGGGAAGGCTTCTTAAACCAGGTGACGCTGAAGCAGAGCTAAAAGATGGGAAGTCAGCCAGGCACAGCTAGAGAAGGGCACGTGCAAAGATCTGCCAGTTGGAAAGAACTCGGCTTGTCTGAGGATCGGAAAGAAGGCTAGTGAAGCTGGAATACCAAGAATGGCAGGGGTAGCAGAGCCAGGAGATGGGGTGGGAGGTGGGCGGGGCCTGAGCTGCCCCTCAGTGGCCCCAAGAGAGCTGGACTTCAGTCTCAGTGCAGTGGGAAGCCGTTGGAGTATTTAAAGCAGAGGGTAACAGACACTCCTAGTTTAGGAGGGGACATGGAAGGAATCAAAGTCTAGAACACCTACTATGTGCCAGGCATTAAGCTCAGTGCTTTAATAGCCTGTTTCATTTCATTTTTGCAAATTTATGGGACAGGTATTGTGATCATAATTTTACAGGAAAGAAAATGGAGCTTCAGAGAGGGAGTAACACTCACCAGGGTCACACAGCTTGGTAAGTGGAAGGAGCAGAGATCCGAATGCTTGCCTGTTTAGCTCTAATCTCTGTGTCTCCCCACACTTGTATCCATGCTGAGCCCTGATCACCAGTGGTTTGTGGCACCAGTGCTGAGTGGGCAGCGGGTGGGAGCAAGGGAAAATCCTTAAGAACCCGGGGCATGCCTCAGAGGAGCTCAGCTGAGCTGGAAGAAAGAACTTTAGAGATCCAGCCATCTCTTTTTGCAAATCAGGCCCCTGAGGCCAGAGAAGGAAGGCCACTCTCCCAGCAACACACAGCCACAAAGCCAGGAAGTGGGTGCTGTCAGTCCGATATCTAGTTCCGAGTGTATTTGCAGAGGCACTGCAGGCTGGTCTGCTCTGGTGCTGGCTGCCGGGATGCTCCGCTGTGTGCTCCCCACGCATCTAGCCCGGGGCTCTGCATCCCACCTACTCTCCGTCTACCCTCCACAGTACGGCCAGAGCCACTCTTTAAAAACCTAAGTCACACCGTGAGACCCCTGCTAAGTATTCTGTTCTAGCATCCCACAGCACGGGGCATCTCCCTCTGCCTCCACCACAAAGATGGCTTGTCCCCAGGCACACTTCTCCTGGCCTTCTTCGTGTTTGCTGGTCCCCCGCCTGGAGCATTCCTCCCCAGATACCTGCCTGGCCCGGTTTTCCCGTGGATGGGGTTTCACCTGAAATGTCACCTCCTCAGAGAGGGCTTCCCTGATCCTATGTCTAGAAGACTGTCCTGTCTCTCTTTCCCTTTCCCTGGACTGATTTTTCTCCATACGGCCTATGCCTACCGGACACTGTGTTTCTATCTGTGGGTCTACTGTCCATTTGCCCAGGTCTGTGAGAGCAGGCCTGGCCTGGTTTGTTCACTGCTGTTCCCGCTCACAGCCACAGCAGAGGCACAGGGAGTATTGTTGATGGACTGACTGGGCCCTGTGGCACTTCTGTGCCCTGGTGCCCAGACACCTGTCACCAGCTTGATGCCCGAAGCCCCCTTTCCTGGGAATGAGGTGCTTTCCCAGCCTCTGGAGCTTCTGTTACTCACTACCTGCATTTCCCTGACTCCGCAACAGACCCCGAGCCCACGCCTCTCTCCCGAACCCCACACTCAGTTGCCTTCCCCGAGGCTCCGCTTGGGTGTCTAACAGGTGCCTCAAACCCAACACGCTCAAAACTCAGCTCCTGAACGTTCCGCAGAAACCTGCTCTGCCACAGGAGACAGTCAGTGGTGACCCTAGCTTCCCCCGCCCGAAAACTCAGAGTCGTTCTTGACTTCCACCTTCCTCTCGAACCTCACATCCGATGCCTCCTGAAGTCTGGCCTCCCAGCGGATCCAGAACCCAGCAGCCTCTCTGCACCTGCACTGCCACCAGCACAGCCCGAGGCTCCGTGGCCCCCCCGCACAGTGGGGAAGCTTCCTCCCCGCTCGCCCTGCTTCCACCCCTGCCTCCCCCAGACCAGCTTCACAGAGCCCTGGGAGACACAGGTCAGTCCGGAATAGGCACACCTATGAGACAGAAGACAGATCAGTGGTTGCCTAGGGCCGGGAGGCTGGAGGAAATGGGCAGTGAGTGGCTAACTGGCACAGGATTTTCCTGGGGGTGACGAAATGTTCTAAAATTTACTGTATTGATGCACAGCTTTGTAAATACACCAAAAACCATCAAATTGTTTTAAAAAGCAAATAAACATATCTTTTAACATTTAAACAAATAGTCGTATTGTGTCCTTTCCCCGCTCAGAACTTGGCTCCCATCTCAGTCTTAGTCAAAGCCAAGATCTTTCTGGTGCCTAGCAGGGAAGGTCCCCGTTACCCACCTGGCCTTTCCCTGCATCCCCTCCTTTCTTCACCCCCTGGGCCACAATGGCCTCCCTGATGTTTCTAGAACCTGCCGTGCTCATTTGGAGCCTCTGCTCTTGCTGTCCCCCCTGCCTAGAACATTCCTCCACCACATATCCAAATGGCTCGTGCCTCACTTCCCTCGGGTCTTTAGCGGAAGTCTTGAGCACCAGGAGCAGCTGTCAAAATAGCAGGAGGGTCCTCTGGGCAGCATCTTTGGGCCGTAGTTTGCTCATCTATACTATATCACGGGGGTTCTTAGAAAACCTATCTCATAAGGCTGTTACGCAGAAACACTTAGAAAAGTGCTAGGGATGTGGTAAATATAGTTATGATTATGATTATCCAGAGGGTGAGAGAGAGGTCGTGCGACTGGGAACGGAGGAATGCGAGGAGGGTGGTGGGGCAGGGAGGCAGTGTGGATTGCAAAGAGAGAAGAGCAGCCCAGGGGATGCAGCAAAAAGGGGTCAGCGTGAGTATGGAATGAAAGGTGGGGAGAGGAGGTATAGATCTCTCCTGGTGGCTACATAGGAAGGCCAGTGAGGGAGGAGGCAGGACAAGGGGAGGGCAGGGGATGGGAGGGGAAGGTGGGAGCCCTTGGAGCAGGAGCAGTGCCCTGGGTGCCTCAGCATTGTGCCCAGATTGTGCCCTGCACACGGCTCGGTGAACAAGGGGAGCTCAGAGGATGCTTGCTGACTGAATGCTAGTCGGAGCCAGGGAGCGCCACCTGTCCCTCTAGCTTCCTGGCTCTCACGCCCATGGGTGCTGGTGGTTGCCAAGGTTACCTGGTGAGCTGCTCCTGCAGTGCCTTCAGCTGCCTGTCCTGCTCCTTCCACAGCCACTCCTGGTGCTGGGCTTGCTCCTTGGTCTTCTGGAGCCTATGTCTGAGGCTCTGTGGAGGGGAGGGGAGGAGGCAGGAGAAAGGAAGATGAAGAGGGAGGACAGAGACCCCAGCCCAGGGAACGACTTGACAAACATCCCTGAGAGACCTCAGGCCATGTGAGACCACCTTTGCGAGGAAGGCAGGATTGGGGACAGCCCTGGGAGCTGTGACGCCTGGCTCTGCCCGTGGGTAAGCCTGGAGACGCCATGTCTTCCTTCACCGAGGGATGGAAGTTACAAGGCTCAAGAGCCTGGAAGACTCTGGCTGGGGAGCAGGCTGAAGGAAGGCTTAAAACAACCTTGGGTGACCTCCAGGGGACACGTCTACAGCAAGAGCAACTCAGCGAGATCTGCAACAGTGGAATTTACACACTGACAGGAAACTTGCCCGCAGTGGGGGCTATGAAACTGAGAACAGGCAACTGCCCTGAAGACCTGTTGCAAAGGTGTCCCCCATGCCTATCAGGACCAGGCAGGGAGTACTGATGAATAAAGTGGGCCTGGTGTGAGGCAAGGGGTACAGGTGGGGACCTTGGTGAACTGAAGAATGCACGGCTTTCAAAAGACATCCTCAACTAATAATAATCCTGTGCAGGCCAATAAATATTGATCTGTGGGCTGGAGTGGTCCCCAGGCGACCCCTGGAGACATCCAGCTGTGGGCCAGCTTAGACTGGGGAGGACAGACAGGCACACAGCTGAGCGGCTCTCACCTCGACTGCATCCTGCAAGGCCACGTCTGCTCCCTCGTCTTCTGTCCTGGTTGCACTGGTCACTCCTGTTTGCTCCTGTGGCTCCTCAGTGGCGGAGCCTCCCTTCGGTCCCGGGCTCTGAAGGACGCTGGGCTCCCCCAGGGTGCCAGGCACCTTGCCCTCCCCTCTGCTCCTTGACATTGTGCCTTCATTTGTCCCTCTGGAGCCGGAGACCAGCAGCCTCTGGACACGACCCCACTCTGCCTCCCTTTCACGAGTCCCCTCTGTTGTTCTCTGACCCCCTGCACTCAGCGGCACCCCTCTGACCTCACACTCTGTCTCTACCACCTCCTTCAGAGCCCGCCTGGCCCCCTCCCCCGGACCCTGGATGCTGAGTGTTGAGTTTCCCGGGCAGAGGCTCGCCCTTGGGGCTCCCATTTCCTGGTCTTGCTGCCGCTCCTCCCCCTCTGGTTCCCACGTGCTGTGGGGGACCCCGAGGCTTCTCGGATCGTCTTTCTTCACTTCCAAAAAGGGGGGAAGATGCCCGTTTTGCTGGGATGTGAGGAGTCCAGCCAACTGGTCTGCTGGTGCATCTTGCAGACCGCTGGCTTGGCTGGTGTGTGGCTCCTCTGGCAGGACTCCTTTGGGGCTCCCACGCACAGCTGAGGTCTGCAGAGAAACCCCCAAACGCACTGTCATCCCTCTCAGCACCAACTCACCAAGCTGGTACATGGGGAAGGCCACAGCCCGCGTGCAACAGGCTTGCTAACTATACAGATTCCCAGGCCCTCCCACCGGAAATGCTGATTCAGCAGACCTGGGGAGGGCCCGGGAATCTGAATGTTAACACCGGGTGGTCTGATCTGAGGCCCCAGCTTTGATCTGGCCAGAGCAGCAGCGCTTCCCGATGCCCTGTCCCCCCTCACCGCTAGCCCACGCCCTTCTCCCTCCTTCATGTCTACCTTCTGCGTGGATCTGGTTCCCCACTAAGTTCTTCCCACCCCTCTCCTCTGATCCTTCCCTGTGAACTTGACTCCTTCGTATTTTCCTGTCTGAAAAGTGGGAATGATAATGCCTGCCTTGTAAGACCGTGATGAAAGCTTAGACTGACCGACAGCCTGCTAGGAGTCCCCTCTGCCAAGAAGCTTTCTCTGGGCCCCACGTTCCCCTGTGGGTGTTGGCATCGCGACGCTTCACAAGTCACGCTGCAACGTGCTCCTTTAGGGTCTGTCCCCTTGAGCAGACCTGAGCTCCTTCGGGCCAGAGACTGAGGCCTCATAGTATCTGTACCTAGTACCTGGAAGCTGGTGGGGGTGGGGGCACAGGGAGCTCGTGGGATGTGGTGACTGCCAGCTACCGCCTACTGAGCACAGGGCAGCCTTGCTCTGTCTCGATGCATCCCCGCAATCTTCCTGCGAAGCACCACAAGTAACTTACCGAGGACCACGGTTAGTAAGGGTGGGGCTGGGATCTGAACCAGGTGATCTGGCCCTTCAATTGCTCCCTGAACTGGAGACCTTTGCAAATTGTCCAGAAGAGGTTATTTCCCTGGTCTGTTTCCTACCAGTTTCCGGTCACCCTCTCCAGCAGCCCCTCCTCCCACGGGCCCCACCGGCTCCTGCAGATGGTGTCGGTGGCTCATTTCTCTCCCCGATACCCCCACCATCCTAGGAAAATGGCCTTCGCTTCTGTGGGCCCCTAGTCCCCAGGTCCACACATTGGCCTCTCTGTGTCTGTCCACTGGGTGCAGGACTCAGCTACTGCTCAACCTGAGGTCCCTGCAGAGATGGAAAGGAGGCAACTGAGTGGGAAGGTCAGGCAGGAGCACCTCCTTTGGGGAATCTCTGTCTTTTCTGGGTCTTCTTCCCTGGGTCCGGCTGGAGCTGGAGCAGCGGGACCTGGAAGTGAAAGGGCAGGGGGACCCTGGGCCTCTCTCCAGAGGTGGTCTCGGCTCCCGGATGCAGGATGCCCCATCTTTCCAGCCACCCATTCATTCCGCTACTTTTCCTCCCTCCCACCTCACACACGCACCCCTCTCTCCATCCAGCCCTGCATCCCACCCTCCAGGTATCCACCAATCCCTTAACATCCCACCATACATCCGTCCTTCTCACTCTACCCCAGCCACTCAACAGCCCTTTAGAGTGTGTATGCAGTGCAGCCTCGCGGGACATCATGAGATAACGCTGGGAAAACAGAAGGCGAAGGAGGTGGAGGTTCAGGGGCTCAGGGAGCATGAAGGGAGGGAGAAACGGATGGCGCAAGAGGCTGAGGGCTTGCGGCTAGCTCGGGACGGGCGGTAGCACTGGCAGCAGGTATGAAAAGAGGCCCCCCTTCACGCATACACACTCACTCTGAGAACATGGGCCAAGCCCCGTCCAGGTCTGGCCGCTGCAGGTCCAAGTCAAAGGCCACCCCGTTGAGAGCATAGAGGGAGTCCAGGATGTCCTCCTGGAGGTCAGGGTGCACCAGAGGGCTGCGGGGGCCATACCATTCCCTGCGTTCACAGCGACCAACACCCTTGGTCTTTGGCCCTGGTGCGGTTGCCACCCCTGACCTCAGAGAATGCACCTCTCTGCTGCACAGCATCATGGGACAACTCCCCTAGCTGGGCTGTGGCCCCTGGAGAGCAGGAGGCCTACATATCGTGACGATACCAGGACTGGGGCTCTAACCCCCCACCTCTGCTCTTTCTTCCTTGCCTTCCCCCTCGTCTCTCTCATTTTATTCATCCTTGATATTAAACCACCCTTTTCGGGGTAGAGGAGGACCTTTCACTCGGGAGGGACAGTGGGCTCAGATGGTAGGAGTAGACGCATGTGCAGCAGCCCCACCTGGTGAGCTGTGGGCTCAGGAGGCAGAGCTGCAGCCACTCGGCCAGCTGTCCGTGGGCAAGGCAGAAGCGGATGAAGGCACGGCCTTTCCCCAGGGGCGTCTTCAACTGCAGAGCGCACAGGGGGCAAAGTGGGGGTGGTGTGAGGACTAGGGGAGCTCAGCCAGCCCAGAGAGGGAACGGGGGTGTTGATGAGAAAGGTGTTATGGGACTGGGGCTCTGGGAAGGAAAGGGGTGGCCGGAGGGGTGCTGAGGACAGCGCTCACAAGAGCTGAGGGCCAGGGGAGGGCACCTACAGTCGGTGCAACTGGGATGGGTGAGAACAGGGCCTTGGGCCGGCCTGTGTCCCCTGGACCCTGAGTGATCCCCGTCAAGGGCCTGGTGGCAGGACCCCCTCATGCTGGGGCCAGCCCGCCTGCCCCTGGCACTGCATACCTTGTCCTGTGAGTGGACAAAGCGTGCCGGCTCCGTGTTCCCCCGCTGCTGCCATAGGGCAGTGCAGACAAAGTCCCAGTAATCCTTCCGCGGCCTCAGGAAGCTCTTCTGCTGCTTCTGGTCAAACTGGGAGCAAGCCGGGGGGCAGGAATCACCGACACGCTCCCTCCTAGAACGCACCCTGCGTGCCCGCATGAGGGGCGGCCACGTGGTAGAGGGGAAGGGCTTATACAGACGGACCCGGCTTCAGGTCCGGGCTCTGCCCTTACTGGCTGTGTGACCAGGAGCGAGCTGCTTGACTTCTCTGCATGTTCAGTGTTCTCATTCATTCCAGAAGTACTTATTGAGCACTTACTGTGTGCCAGACCTGTCCTAAGTCCAGGGGATACAGCAATGAACAAGCTGACCTCATGGGCTTACGTCTTGGAAGAGGAGACAGACAATGAACACACTGAATGAGTAAAACTATATACTATGTCAGAGAGGGCTGCCCACTAAGGAGAAATAAATACAGCAGGAAGAGGGAATAGAAATTGCGTGGTGTGCACACACGTGTGCATGTTGTGTGTATGTGTGCCGTGTTAGATATATGTATGTGTTGAAAATTGAGGTTAGAGTGACTAGAGAAAGCCTTACTGAACAGGTGCTATTCCAGTTGAAAACCGAAGGAAATGAGAAAGTGTGCCATCTGCATTTCTGGGGGGCAGAGCATTCCAGACAGAGGGAATAGCAGGTGCAAAGGCCCTGAGGTGGGTGCGTTCCTGGTGTGCTTCAGAGGATCAAGAAGGCCGGTGTGACTGGAGCACAGACTGGCAGGAGGCTCACACAGGCACGCCGCATACCCATACCACACACATACACACACACATTCCCACCACACACACATACACGCACAGAGAAGTAGGAGGGGAGTGCATGTATGTGTGAGGGATGGACAGGCCATGAATCACTTCAGGGGGTTAGAGTGAGCACTGAATAAGGGGGGCCATGGAAAGGCTTAGCCTGGCACATAGTATGTGCTCAGTAAAAGCTAGTGATAGTGATGATTGGGGCTCTAACCAGCAGCAAGGAGGGCCAGCCCTAGGACATCTGTGCTTCTGCAACTGAAGCCTCCGGAGCAGGGTGGCAGCCCCCAGCCCCTCCCCACCCTGCCCCAGCCCTGCTCACTGCACCTTCCAGGCTGCAACGACAGCCTCATGAGTGAGGTTAGGTGTCAGGAGGGACCTGCTGACTGAGGGGGATGAAGCGGTGCACAGCAGCAAAGGAAGGGTTGTGGCTCTTCCCTAAGGATCTGGGAAAGCCCTCCTGGTTATCTGGGCCTGCAGAGAAGGAAGGGGAGGGGACGGGAGGGGAGGGAGGGGAGGGAGGGGAGGGCAGAGCCCCACCTGCAGCAGCTGCTCCAGGCAGCCACAGAGTCTGTGCAGCTCAGCGCTGGCGTCTGTCACCCGATGCCTGCCCCCGTAGCCCTGGAGGATGGCAGAGACAGCAGCTGTGAGGAAGATGATGGACATTAAACATCAGGGAGTGAGGTCTCTGAGGGAGAGGCTCCCAAGACCTCACCGTCAGAGACTTGTCCCTCAGTTCAGTCCCAGAAAATCTCTCAGGACACACTCACCTTTCAGGTCCCTGGTGACCTTGAGGGCAGCCCCCTCTTCTGCCATGTGTATTTGAAGATAATATGATTCCTTGTGGCTCCGGAAGTTCAGGCCAGGAAGGAGCCCCTGGGGTCAGCTGTCCAGTGTCCTCCTTACACAAAAGAAGACCCAGGGCCTAGAGCAGAAATGCGGTGTCTCCAGGGTCACAGTGAGTTCACTGGCAGGATATAACCCCAGCCTGTGCGGGCCAGTGTGGGAAGATGAGGGTGTGGCCCCCACTTGTGGAGCAGCTCCTGGGTACTTGACACCTTTGCCTTATTCAGTCCCCACAATGACCCTGGGAGGTCAGCAATTCCATTTCCTACAAGGCAGACTGGGGGCTCAGGGAAGGTAAGTCTCTTTCCCAATGCCGCCAAGCTCCAAGCTCTGAAACTAGAATTTGAACTCAGGTCCACGTGCCCACAGGGCCAGTGCTCTCAGCCCCGGCCTGATGTGGGTGGCACCATCCATGCTCATGTGCAGGCTGGGCGGAGGGAAGCTGCCCCACTTCCCCATGGGGAGCTTCCCCAGAGCCGTCACCATCCTTGAGACACATTCTCATCCTTTCCTGGCTCCCAGCGGAGTGGAAAGTGTGCCTTCTCCGAGGGGAAGGAGGCAGAAGCAAGGCGTGGCCCTAGGGCTCGGACTGGGTCGTGGGGAGCAGGACACCTGGTTTCAACCTTGCTGCTCTCTCCCACGTGAACCTCAGCTTGTCCCGGCCACCCGGGGGCCCTGGGGCTCGGAGAGGACTGCTGCGGCCCCCGAGGGCCAGTAGGCTTATTCGGAGAGCCTGGGATGAAGACTGGGCCTGGGGCAGGAAACTCGTCCCTGCCCCCCAGGCCGTGGCTGCTGGAATCTGGGGGTGGGCAGGAGTGAAGAAGCACTGGGGCACCGCAGAGGGGACAGGAGCAGGGAGACGAGAGTAAGGAGGAGAGTGGGTGGTGCACCCGCCTTCAGGGAGGGAGCACTGAGCTGGGAGTAAGGGACCCGGGTCTCCACCGTGGCCCTGCAACTTACCTGCTGACCTTGGGAACGTCACTCACAGTTCTCGGGCTTCAGTTCGTCCACATGTAGACCAAGGGCTCGGGGGCAGGGTCTCTGACGTCCCTCCCCGCCCACACAGTTCATGAAACCTGGGAACGCGGATGTGCATCTCGTCCTGTCCCTCACATCCATCAAAACTCCTCAGCTCCTCACTCCTGGCTTCGTTCCCCTTCTCTGGCCTCCCCCAGACCCAGGAGTCTCTACTCACCTGGACAGGCCTGGCGGGTGGAGGCACGGAGAGCCAGCGGGGCAGCCTGAGCCTGCCACTTGTGACCGTCCCTCCTGAGCAGCCTTCTCGGAGTTTGCTGCCTGGGAGGTGACTCAGGCCCAGCCCAGCACCCTGGAGGGGAAACTGTGCTCGGAGCTGGAGGAACAGAAGACTGTGGGGGAGCAGTGGCGGAGGCTCAGTCAAGGGCACCAGGGCAGAATGGCTGGGATGGGGATGACTGGTTGATCAAACGAGGCCTCACCCAGCTGCCAGTTTCCTTCCCTTTTCCTGAAGGCCACTTGCTCTGGTCTTCCTTCCTTACCACCACCAGGTGGCACTAACAGGCTGGGATGCTGCCCGATCTGACACTCGGCCAGTTTTTACTGACCCCTGGTTGGAGTGTGATGCAGGTGGGGAGGGGTGGACAAGAGTCCCATCACATGTCTCTCTCCTCCTCCCTACGTCAGCCTTCTGAGGGGGTCCCCATGAGTGCTGGTCACCAGTGCCATCCTCTCAATCCTGGTACTCACCCCTAAAAGGAGGGAAGTGACTACGGGTGAGATGCTGTATCCAGGAATGGGCCAGGTGCGTTGCCCAGGTGAGTTGTGGCCCTTCCACCCTGGATGTGCCCTGCCTCCTTGAGGCTGAGATCTTTCCACCTCGTTTTGCTAGGCAGCGGTGACCCACGGGCTAGTGCCAGGGCCAGAGAACGGGGGAGCAGGCGCCTGGGAGGATCACTGCTTCACAAACCCCAGGGCGCGCACGTGAACCCTGGCGCGCGCCGGGCGCTGCTCTCCCGAGCCACTCCCGGCCTGTCTCTTCCTCTCCCGGACTCGGTATCCCCGGGGCAGAGACTCGGTTCCCCCTCACTGTCCCCGGCGTTCCTGTTTCCCTGTCTCTCCCTCTTTATCTGTCTCCTTAACCGCTTCCTGCCTCGTCTTTTGCTCCGTGGGTCTCTTTCTCGCCAGCCCCGTTCCGTACTCGGCGGGTCCCCCACCCCGTACTCAGCGGGTCCGCCGCCCCAGTCCCCGGCACCCCGCCGCCGCCCCTCCCCGCGTCCCCCGCCCTCGGGTCCCCCTCTGTCACTGGTTGCTCCCGGCGGCCGTGTCACCGCCCCTCGTCCGCCCCGCACTCCTCCGCTTCCTGGCGGTGCAGTGGGAGAAGGCTCGGGGAAGGGACGGGCTGGGGGCGTCGCCGCCCCCTCCCGACGTTGGAGGCGCCCTGGGCTGGGGGCGGGCCATCTCCCGGGGCGCCCGCGTCCCCGCCCCCCGCCCTGGCCCGCCGGGCGCCAGGGCGGATGGGCTGCACGGTGAGCTTGGTGTGCTGCGAGGCGCTGGAACCCGGGCCCCCTTGTGGCCCCCAGCCCCCGGGGAGCCCCCCGGCCCCAGCACGGGTGCAGTGCTGGGAGCCCGGGGCTTTGGTCCAGGGCGACAGCCGGCGGCTCCTGCATCAGGTAGGGCGCTGCGGGGATGACGGGGTGGGGAGTGGGTGGCAGGCAGAGCCCAGCTTACCTGAGACAGGTAAGGAGCCAAGTCAGGAAAGTGCCCATCAGCGGTCGGGAGGTGGGCAACAAGGGCAGGCCGCCCCAGGGGCACGGGTTGGACTAGGACCAGGTTAAGGCACAGAAAGTTAGGTTGAGGTCTCGCCTGGGTCTCCGGTAACTTTGGGAGGAGGCTGATGTAGCACCTGGCTTTAAAAGGACAGTTGAGATGAGGGTTAGGAGCCATTCAGGGGGGACAGGGCTGGGAATGCTGGGGAAAGGCACCAAAAGTGTTAATTGCCCTTGAGCTGGTCCAGGAGTTGACTGTGTGTCCCCCCTGGGCGCTGTGGCTGTCTCTCTGATCAGGGTTCTGGAGCCAGGAGGGAGGGGGCCTTCTCAGGCTGGGGGGGGGGGGCGCCCACCAGAGCAAGGCTGACCCCAGGATGGTGGAGGCAGTGAACCCTCACCCCTGATTTCTCTGTTCTGGATAAGTCTTGGAGCTTTGCAAGTAGGAAACCGGCCCAGAGGGGTCGTGATGGGCTGGCGCAAGGAGGCAGGTGTTCTGGATGAGGGGTCTGTCTGGGAAGCACCAGGCCTGGTACACGTGTAGGTACTGGGTTTCTCCCAGGAGGAGGAGGGGGAGATATTTGGGGTCACTAGGGATTGCAAAATCTTCCTCCAAGGCTCCCTGCATGATCCCAGTTTCCTCCCTGATCAGGGCTGTGAAGGCTGCAGGCTTCTGAGATTTGTTGGCTGTGCGGGGTTCGGGTCCTGCTGCTGTTTTATGCCTCTCCCCCTGGATACTCAAAGTTTGGGCTGCTCAAGATGTACCTGTGGCTGCATTCTGACTCCCTTCTCTTCCTTCACTGGGGCAGCCAGTGCAGCAGTTGTGCGTGCACGTGCGTGTGCGTGTGCCTGTACACACATGTCCCAAAGTGATCCCTCGGCCCCACGGTACTGGATGCCCCTCAGGGCACGGTTTGTGGCATAGTCATGATTATACTCCACAGTGCCAGGCATAGGGGTGTGCTTATAAATGGAACTCTCCGTCCTTCCTAAGCTTTAGCCTGGGTCATCACCACGGTGACAGACCGCGGTGAGGGACAAGGCTGGGGTGTCGTTGTTGCATGAGCCCTTGCAAGGGCCGGTGGCTCCGGTGTGATTCTGACAAAAGCATGGGCCTAGCACAGGGCCCAGGGGCTGGGTGAGGCCTGCGGGCGCTGGCTGGTCTTCCCAAAGGGCTCTCCTCAGTCCTGGCACAAGGGTGGGGGGCCCATCGAGGGAAGGTGGCATGGCAGAGTCCCCAGACTTTGGGCCCCTCCAGAGGTCATCCAGGTGCCTCCTCTTCTGGGCCTTCCTCAAAGTTTTCAGGGGGAACTGAGTTCACATACACCCCCCCCCCCCCGTCTGTCTCCATGTCAGACCCTTCTGACTTTACTTTCTCTGCCGGGGGGCTCCTTGGTTCCCTGTCTCCCTCCCTCCTCTGCTCCCCCAGCAGCCAGCAGTGGGGCAGGTGCCAGCTGGGCCACCTGAGGAACAGGCTGTCTACTGAGACGGAGGCAGGAGCCGGGCCACCGGTGATCAAGGAGAGGGGAGGGGGAGGGGGAGGGGAGTGTGGGCGGGGGTGTGTGACAGCCACAGGGACGGGGTGGGGATGGGTGGCTGTCTGCATTCAGATGAGCTTGTTTCTGAGCTGCCTCCCGAGAGAGCCTGGCTCTCACCCATGACTCACTGCTTTCTTTATCTGCAGGACCACACTCTCTGGCCCAGCCCCAGCCTGTGCCTGCTGCCCCCTGGCTCTGGCTCCAGGCCGGGCGGGGTAGGTGCTGCTGCTGGCGGTGTCCTTCCTTGCCAGGCCTCCTATTCATATGGCGACTCTCAGGACACTTCAGTGACCCGGGAAAGAGTAGCCGGGCTGTCTGTCACCTCACTCGAGGAGGCGAGGAGGCGTTTTACCACGTTCTTGTGGTGGATAAACATCTCTCGGGCTCTCAGCCCCCCTTGGGAGTCGGGGCTTAGAAGCTACTCTGGCATCTGGGCTCCCAGCCAGGGCACTCCCACTGACAGTGCTGCCACCAACATGCCACCATTCCTGCCACAGGCCATCCCCTGCTCCCCCTGACCCCCACCCTATCCCACCGGCCAAGCTCCTCTCCTTAGGTCACAGGCTGTGCTCAAGTCACCTGTCCCCACCCCCAGGCTCTCCCTTCTTCTCTCCCCTCTGGGCAGCCCCCTCCCTGCCAGGCCCCACTGCCCTCTTCCCCTTGCAGGCTGTCCCCAGCCTTCCCCCTAAGCCTGTCCTCTGCACAGACGCACTGCCCTCCTCTCG